TCTACTTGGCCCTTCACTTTGCCCTTATGGTCGTTGATATAAAAAATCGTGAAGTTGCAATTTGGGATTCATACCAAAAACATACAAATACCCCCGAGCTGGAGGCTAAAGCAAAACAAATTGTGAGTTGTCGCTTCTCGTTCACATCGCTTATTACTTAGTCTTCGCAGAAATACCAACCTAAATCTTTTAACACACATTTTTTTACAATTACAGGTAACAATGTTGGACATTCTATTTGGTAAGGACTTTAGTGGTATTCTTGATGATGACCACCCATTTCAACGCTTTCCCATTCATTTTGTAGTGGAGGCCCCTCAACAATCCAATGAGTGAGTTACCATCGTGTGCTTCGTATAATGAGTCGGTTTCACGACACAACGATAGTGATAATAACTACAATCTATAATGCCATTTTTCATTGGACAGCGATGATGCCGGTATGTTTGTTGTGAAGTTGATGAAAGCTGCAACATCGCTAGACAAGGCGGCAAGAGATATGAGAAAAGAGGTAGCTATAGATGATTATAGATACTTGAAGAAAATTGGATGGGTCGTAGTTCCATAAGCGAACCCTCCATAAATTTGGGGTGGACAATTTCCATTATAAAGTAGGAAGAAGGTAAGGTCCCTGCTTCAACAACAGTAAACATAGACCTATTTCACTGACACGCTAATCTATTCATCGAGTTGCACAAAAACCCTCTAAACAGAAACTCAAATCAATGGAACCGAAGGCAGCATCTGCTGCTCGATCAACCCGACGCAAGCATAAGAATAGGATGAATCACGCTTTTTCACGGTTGAATCAGGGTTCCTGGTACTCGAATCAGACAAGGTAGAGCTGCAGAATACAACACTCGAGCTTTGAGCTGCTAACTCGCTGGAGCAGGCGCAGCCACTTTTTCTTTACTCGCCATGTATGTCATAGACAGTCCACAAGTAGGAGAATGAATTGCTCACCAATGGCTGCAGAAATCAAAACAAAATAACAACAAACATCACTTATAGAATCTGCGTAGGAAAACACTTTAGAAGGATAACAATTGAGAGTTTCACATTCCAAACAAACAAATGGCTTCCCATCAAATTCATTGTTGCTGCTGCTCTCTATACTGCCTATACCTAACAAAAGCTATCATTCCAAAATTGCCTACCATTCACAAGCGGTTTGATATATAGTTGCATAGGTGCACCACAGGTCTTTCCTAACTATGTTGGACACATAAACAAGCATTGAAATAATATCTAAGATCATACCTACAGTTCACTAACTTGCTGTCCATATGAAAATGTAATCTTCACAACTTGTAGACGCATGAGCTCCTGCACATTAACAACAAATAGTGTGATTTACTCCATAAGTAGAAACAATCGTAACAAAATGAGACTAAATATACATAGTTCCATACATGTATTCTCATGATCTTTTTGTGGACATGTGCGAACATCATGTCCTTCATTAGTGCAATGACTACAACGTCATTTGGTTGGCTGGGTTGATGATTCACTCTTACGTCCTTTTGTTTTCACAACATGGGGATCTTTAATCCTAATACTTGGTATTCTTTCTGCTGTTTTCTCCATGGGTTCCAATCCGCCATTCTTTCGCCAAATTTCCTCGGCCAACACACTCAACCTTTCGATTTCCTGCTTCACCAGCTTGTATCCTTCCTCCGTTTTTTATGCATACCGACACAGCTTGCCAAAGCTTCCATTTAAATTACCAGATCTCACCATAGCATGTAACTCTTCATTTTGAAGCTCTGGGTGGACTGATTGCACATGACACTCTTTCTTAGCATCCTTGGACCATCGTTTCACCACCAAAGAAGATGGAACAACTGACATGTTATTAACTTTCATCACAAAAAAACAATGACTGCATGGAATGCCTTTGCTCTCGAGAAGCTGACAAGAACACTCGATTCTCCTATCTGCTGGGTAGTAAACCACAATCCAAGAAGCATTAATGTTCGAATATTTGCTCACCTCATAAATGTGCTTCTCCCCATTCACCCTAGTCGACACACAATATAGCAATGGCTCCTCCTTAATCCTCTTCCGCACTTTAAAGAACATTTTGCGAGTATAAATTCTACCAAAATGTTCCTCAATACTCCGAAGATGTGTATCGCACACAGGGAAGGTATCAACACTCACAAAATCCTCCTTTGCCTCCTTGTTTCTCAACCTTCGTAGACCTCTATCGACTTGTACGAATAACTCATACAATTTCAATTTCCTATCCAAAAAACGATTCAAATAAGAGTTCATCCCTTCAACGCGTTGTGAACTCTTCATTCCAGCAGTGAACGTGCCAGAGAAAAATGCTTGAGCCCATTTATGTTGCTTCTCATACAATTCAGACAACCATTCATTGCTACCTAACTGGAACTCTTCCATACCTTTCCTCCATACCTCCTCAAATTCATCAACCGAGTCAATCCGTTTTAACAATCTGTCAAATACTTTCAGAAACTCCTTTGGACTAACATTCGATTCTGCATTCCTTCTCAAGTGCCAGCAACAAATCCTATGAGCAGCACCAGGGATCAACTCCTTAATGGCCCTCTTCATTGACATACACCCATCGGTAATCACAACACTTGGGTGCTTACCTTTCATACACAAGAGAAAAGTTTTAATTACCCAATTGTAGCTCTCTACAGTTTCGTTGGGTAACAAAGCACACCCAAACACTGTAGTTGCGTGATGGTGATTCACCCCAACAAATACGACAAGAGGCATCTTGTATGCGTTTGGCTTATAAGTTGAATCAAAAACTAACACATCACCAAAGCAAGAGTAATCAAACCGGCAGGTGGAGACGGCCCAAAACAAATGTTTTAGTCTGCTATCCTCATCGAGTGTGAACTTGCAGAAGAGTTCTGAATCAATTTCATACTTAGCACGTAAGTATGCTAATGCAGACTCTGCATCACTATGCACTTCAAAATTCTTACCTCCATCCACGAAATTGTACAAATCCTTGAGAGTAAAACCGACGTTGTCATAGCCACCTACTTCATTTACCCTCAAATCCATTATCTGACTCGGTTTCACACCCACCCCTCGCAGTGACTCTACTTGTGCCTTATCACCCTCCTTCAGTGACCGATTAGACCTTAAGAACTGCACTTGTTCAGGTCCAACTCTATCATGATTATGCTCGGAAACAAACTCCTCTACCTTGTACTTCCCATCTTTTTTATCAAATTTCACCTTGAACGAAGCAAGACATCCGAATCTAGTCACCGCCTTTGCTTCCCTCTTCCTATTTTCTCTATTCGCATTTTCTTCAGTTCTGACTCCTTCTTTACAACAAACCCATTTTCGTGATGTCCATTTCCCATATTTGTTAACCTTTCTGTCCCTTTTTCTGACACCAAACCCCATATACTTGCTGTAATTGTTGTAAAAGTTTTCAGCTTCATCAACAGAATCAAGTGTTACCTCCTTCAAATCATGAAACCCCCAATCCTCTATGTTTCCAGGAACATTAACGTTCAAGAGCGACATCCCCGTATTTTCACAGGAATGAACAGTACTTTGACTTTGGGCAGCTGTATCAACATTCTCAGTAAGTATGTCATTCTGAATATCATTTCCATGAGCTAAAGAGACTTCTTCTGATCCTGCATACCAAATTCACTTATAACTTCACTTCAAAACAATAATGTAATCCTGATATATTGTATAGAGATGCACACCTTCCATTCAGGTTGCACTGTGTTCACTTTATCGCCTAGCCTCTCTATTTCAAACAAACCTTCAAGGATAAACACTACCCTTACCACCTGTCAAAGATTACAAAAACGTCATATGAACCGTCATTACCAAGCTTACAAATTGATAGGCTACTTCATAGAAAAGTATTGCATCCCTAGCAGCACAATACAATTGATTTGAGTTTTGGAGATGACCAGCAAATATCCTCAAACATGATTGAACAACCATTAGATAAAAAAGCCTAGATACTCCAACTGCAAGAATGACTCCATGTTTCTGCCTCTCAGGGAACTAACATGCATTACCTACCCAGGAATAACACTACTGACCGCTCCTGATTCATTCAACTTCTCCAATCACTACTACTCTTCTATACTACTTGGAAGTGGAAATCACATCTAGACGTCCCTTAGTTTCTTTCCAACAGGGTTTGATGGAAGGTTATCATGACTAAAAAACGTGAAGATTCTTGGTAATGAAAGCAATTATGAGATTTTGTCACTAACATCAAGCATATTAGCATCTCTACTTGTCCTCTCGTCTCTCAAACTCATGGACTTCAACAAACTATCGGGATCAACTTAACTAGTAGGTTTATGCGGAATCACTTGTCTCCTTCAGTTCAAGGGTTTAATGGACTTCAGCAAAATCTATGAATCATCATAAACATCACGTTGGTAGGTAGTTCATCCTGGTTAAATGGTCTACATAAGCCTGAAGATTCCAGGTTTCAAATTCGGATTCGTTAGGCAAAGTGACATTTTCTGTTCATTGCCATAAGCTATGTATAACGAAGGAAAGCCACAGCTTTGAAAACTCTATTACAGTACTGAAAACAAAATAGAAATGCATCATCTAACTTCATGCACTAGAAATCCCATGTTTTATATAATTGTTAGTCAACATCGAATCTATCAAGGAGCTGCAAATCCTTCCCTGCAACTCAAGATAGAAAATGTAGCCGTCTTTGGTCAGGAAGGTCCAATCATTGATTAATCAAATTGAAAAATATCTTGCCTTCAGATTTAGCATATGAGATTAAGACAAGCAAAGCAGAAAGGGTGTTCATGTATCGTAATCGATCAACTGCCTCAAACCCCTAGGCAAGTAAGATTCAGTTCTTTGAACATGTTTCACTAATCACAACCATATCCGTCATTTAGTCAAAACACACTCACCCATTTAACAACTGTTTACCACTAAACTCAGGTGAGGATTTCTAGCATAAACTTACATACAAAACATTAACAATGACAAACACAGTGAGACTTCATTACCAAAGATGGAGTTCAGTAAAGTGCTTACCGTGGAATGTGGTTGGATCAGTCAAATTGGCGATAGAAACCTCCAAGCTTTCCGAGTAAAGGTCCTTGGTGTCTCCAACTCGGCTGTGTATGCTTAATGTCCCACCGAGTCACCAACGACACCAACCCAACCGAGATATTTCCTTCCTAGCTACGGCGCAATCCGCTGCCTGTCTCCCACAAAGTAAAGTATCTCCCTCCCTCTTCCTCTACGGCAAGCAAAGAAGACCAGAAATCAGTTGCCAAATTAAAACCCCAATTATAGGGATCCTAGTGTTGGAGGAATGACTTGCTGCAATTTCACTAATAAAGATTAAAAAGACCAATTACCAAAACCAAACCAAACAACATTATCAGGTACTGGAATCAGAATGTGAAAAACACCAACCAGAAAGGGGAATAGCATACAGGCAAAACTGAGAAGTTGTTAGCCAACAGAAGATAAAGGAGGAAAGAACAGCACATAAGCAGAACAGGGACACAGCAACCAATTCCCTGCTGCCCGGTTAACACAAGGAAAGCGAAAAATATTGCAAAACAATGCTCCATTGCAGAATCCATGACATTACAGTTCAGAGGCAAAATGAAACTTAGCCAAATTCGGCAACAAAACGAATCAAATCATTGTTTCAAGGATGATGATGGACGGTGTTTGTTCTCCATTAAACTTTTTATCACCTAAAATTAACTTCAAAATAGATCAAACAAAATGTATTAAGCTACATCTTATAAATTTATTATCGAGCCCGCTGTTTCATTCATCTCGTTCGTCATGCTAAGAGGAGTAAGAGTGCAAAGAGAATGAATGATGTATGACTTTTGTAGAGGCCACCCTACCTACTTCGGTTTGACTTTGTGTTATAACACTAATCACTTCATTATTTGCTCTTTCTAACACACACCCGGAAACAAACATTCAGAATATAGATGAACTTCATTATACAGCCTTTGTCACCGACTCGAGAAAGTCGATTTGGACTCGCGTGGGGTTCTACATAATCTCAAAAGTGTGTGAAGGAGAATTCCAAGAACTGGATGGAAGATACCAATATAACAGCAGTATGAACTAATTATACATTTATTGTCGTGCAGTGATTTCAACCAACCATGTAAGAAAACAAACTAAGAGAAATGAGAAAACGCTATCAGAAAGAAGCTCTATCCTTTTAAGTTGCATACCAAGTCCTCTCAGACTTGGAAAGAGACCAACTTTCACAAAGAAAAAACTGAACCCGGCAACAAGCATTTAGGATGGTATAAAATTGCTCTATAATGCACCAAAGAGCATATAATGTCGATGATTCTCATAACAGATACGCGATTCACATGCCATCCATATCCAAAACACTTTATAGAAGTCGATTTAATTTCAAATGAAAACATGAGGAAGTGACTACTGAATATCTATTAAACTTGAACAATAAGTAGTACTGACCTTGCTGTACCCCAAGCACAGTTGCAGTAAGGTGCAGACCGAGGGTGCAAACCGAGGGTGCAGGGCAGAGTCAGGAACTCTTCCCTTACGCGCGCGAGGGATTGTCGGTGTCGGCAGAGCAGTTCGACGCAGACAGAGGGCGTCCCTGTACTAGGGATTCGTCAGTTTTTGTTTCACAGAATGAATGCCGGAGGAGGAATACGGTGAAGGAGTTTATTGGAGGCGATGGAGTTCCGATCGGAGTGGATGGAGTTCAAAGGAAAACGAAGAACTAAAAGATTGATTGACCAACCTGGCTCAAGTCGAAACCTTGTGCTGTTCGCTGGAGACAGAGGCCCGCGAACACGATTGATTCTTTCGCCTCTGTTCTACCAACAATGTAGGACAGTAGGAGGAAACAGTGACGGATTAAAATCGAGGCTTGACCTCGGAGATGGGGTTGACGACGCACAATTCGCCGGACTGATTTTGGCCAGACCGCCGTAGGAGATCGAGGAATGGTGCTTTGGCTCGTTACCCGTTGTTCCCCTGTTTCTGATTCTTCCGAAAAATAAAACTAATATCAGTTTTTTTTTTTTAATGACACAATGGAGGTTGGACGGAGAAGGTCTTTCCGTTAGTTTTGGGTTAGTGGTTAGTACTCATGGGCCAGCCGGCCAGAATTGGATAAATAAACCAGTCAGGCCACGTCAGCGCCATGTGGCCCAATCATAAACGGCGTCACCGGTGCCACACTTTTTAGTGCGGCACTGTAGTATTGGCCATAATAATATAATTAATTTTGGTAATTTAATTAACTTTTATTAAATAATTTTTATGATAAGTCACATAGACAAAGTAAGTGGAATGATTAGGTGGAAAAAATATATTTATTTTTTATTTTTAAAATTTCCACGTCATCTAGTTAACAGTCAAACTTTATAGTTGACTGCCACGTAGGACAAATTTAACGGAGTGTAACGACCGGTGACTAATGGTGAAACGATTCGTAAAGTTGGTGGTGAATAAGTGATAGACCGTTAGTTACACATGTTTTTACCCCTGCTCTTACTCCGTTTGAGGTATTGATTCTCGTGTTTTAGGCCGATTTCACGCTAGGTTGTGCTTGTTTATGATATTTCAGGTCCTAGTACGTGAATGGAGGCTTGGGAGCGAGTTTGAGGTCGATTGGACGAGGATCGGACGCATGGCGAGGTTCTGAGGAAGTCGCACGGGCACACCCACAACCCGCACGGCCGTGAAAGTGACCAGTTTGGCCGTGCGGGATTGTGCGTGGGCACGCACGGGATTGTGCGTGGCCACGCACGGCCGTGCAAGTGACCAGCCTGGCCGTGCGGGATTGTGCGTGGGCACGCACGGGCACAAGTGAAATCCGCACGGCCGTGCAAGGTGCAATCCTGGCCGTGCGAGTTGGTTGAGGTTCGACTTATTGATACGCCGCGTTTTGGAGTGCACGGCCAGAATGGTGATGTGCACGGCCGTGCACCCTGGCCGTGCGAGTCGGGAATTGCTGTTTAAAACCCGATTTTCAGCCAAAGGAAGGGGAAGAGCTGGGTTTTGGATCCCAAACACCCAAGGGACGAACCCTAGAGAGAGAGAGCGACTTGGGAACATTCTTAGAGCTATTTTGGAGGATTTCTTCGCCATTGGAGCTCGGGAATCAAGCCCGGACTTGAAGACTGATCATCTGAATATTCTTACTGCAGTCTCTCTCTTCTCTATGGAGTAACTTCCCTTCACTTAGGTTTTGAGGAACCCTAGCTATGTTTGTTTGATTGGATGATTGTATGAGTACTCTGACTTGATAATCTTGAGTTCATATTCAATCTATGCATGTTTTCACGATTCAATTCTGCTTTAGTCGAGATTATTGATTCTGCTTTGATCCTATGAGAGCGAATACCTGATTAGGTCAATAGAGCACCATAGATTGATAGTAGTGGATCGATTGCTTTAGTCGAGGGTTGATTCACTGCTTTGTATCGATTGAGAACCTCATTCGATAGAGGGAGTCTTGTTCAGAACGCCTTGATCGATTGTTCTAGAGAAGGATACGTCCCTCTAGGCAATTGACTCAAGAGGGCCTTGTTCCTTTAGTCGAGACTCAAGGTCTAGTCAAGGATTCTCCGCATTGTGAATGAAGTGAAACAAGTTAGAAATCATCGATCGTTAATCTGGCTAGTGGCTAGGGGGAATCATACCTAAGTGAGTTCCCAACCTGTAATTAGATTAACTTTAACTGTAGTTTGCTAGAGTAGTTTTAGTTCTTTCATCGTGATCTGTTTTGCTAGATAATGAACTGAAGCTGAGTAATAGTAACTCTAGAGACCCGTGGATTCGATATTTATTACTTGAGCCACTATACTGCAGTCCCTTTCATTGGTTACACTTGGCCATTGTTAGGAGTTGTGTTTTAGCGAGTCAAGTTTTTGGCGCCGTTGCCGGGGACTTTCTAGAGTATTAGGAAAGGCAGAAGTTTGTTACTTTAGCGGTTTTCTTTTCTTTTCCACCCTTGCTTTTCACTTGGGTGTTTTTGTTTTTGTTGGTGCAGATCTGAATCATGGATCCTCATGGCTTCTCCAATCATTGGGGGTATCCACCACCATCCGAGTGGTATTACCCCGAGACACCCTGGAGCAATCAAGGAGGAGAAGACTATGGATTCGGGTTCCAGTACCAACCCCCTTACTACGGAGTACAATCTGACCCCTGGGCATATCAAGAACAATTTCATTACCAAGAAGACTTTCTTCCACAACCAGAAGTGCCATCAGAGCTGGAGTTACCCATGGCGGCCTTCACGGGCCATTCTGCAGAGCCATGCTACACTCCACAGCCAGATCCAAACTATGAACTGAGCCTTCTCTTGGAGCAGTTCGTTCGGGACTCCGAGAGACGCAATCGCAAGATGGATCTTCAAATCCAAGCCCTTTCCTCTTCCGATCCCTCATTTCTCCATGATATGGAGGAGGCTGTTCAACGCTCAGCGAAGCAAACAGAGTGGGTGGAGCAAGTTTGCTCACAACTTGCTCAAGATCACCCGTCTGCTACCATACTAGAAGGGGACGAGGAAGAAGAAGGCTACAAGGACATTGTGGAGCACACAGAAGTTGTCACGGAGAGCTCCCGTGATGATCATGATCAGGAATGTCCTGTCGTAGCCGGCCACCCTTTCCCACATCCCACACTGAGCTTTGAAGAGGTGGGCATGAGTGAGGAGATGCAAGAAGATCTCATGAAAGAAATTGCTTGGCAACTTGCTCTCCAATCCGTGCTAGAAGAAGAAGAGCAAGAAAGGGTGCAGAAAGAGGTTGTGGAGGATGACGAAAGCGAAGCAGGAGGAATTCTTGATCATTTCCCAGGGGTGATACCACATGAAGAAGAAAGGGAGGTTGAAGAAGCAATTGGCGTCCAGGCTGAGGACGGAGTTGAGGTGGAAGAGGCTTGCACCGGCCATGAGTTACTTGTGATATCCCCACCAAACTTCGAGGAATTGCTCAGCAAGGACCCATTTGCAGTGTCTCTTTGCCAGACCAAGGCCACATCGACATCGGTCCCTCTTGGTGGACGCGATGGTGGTCAATCGATGTTGTCATATCTGGTTTGGGGCAATGAGACGAGAGAAGAGAAGAAGAGGTCTCGAGGGTGGAGACTTCATCTGCATCAAGTGCACGAGGCTTCATCACCTGCCGCACCACATGCTCGTGACTTGAGACTCCACCTCATCGACGAGAACCTCAACTTCAAGGAGGTTTTGGGGTGGACCGAAACTTAGGAGCCATCGTCCGGCTCATGACGTGAAAGAAGCTCTTGTTGGGAGGCAACCCAACCAGTCGGTTTGCATTTCTTTCTCTATTTCTCCTCGGTCGAGTCAGTTTTGTTATTTGATTTTAGAGTCAATAACTCCACCTTTGTGAGATTTTGTGTGGTGTTTGTGTTCTGATTACTCTCTCTTCCTGGAATGCACCGCCTGCCCCGTCCATCATCATTCACCCTTGATCTGGTAACTTCGTTCTACCCTCCTTATCTTTCCTCCATTGAGGACAATGTCGTGCTTAAGTGTGGGGGAATGTTCGATTATGTATGCGGGTGAGTGTTTAGCTGTTTGTGTGCTTGGAGCCTAGTCCACTGTCCAAATTTTTAAATTTGAGGGCTCCAAGTACGTGTTCCCTGCAAATTGCCTGCTCAGTATGCTTTGAATTGACAGTCTCTGTAGTGATTTGCAACCTAGGGAGGTAGTGTAGCACTATGGAGGATGTTGATGCATTTAAGAAGTCTCATTTCTTCTTCATATTGTGTTGGTTGATTGAGTGCATTAGTGATCTTAGGACCCTTGAATTGTGTGGTGTTGTGGACTCTCTGCCTGTCATGGACTCTTGTATCATGTTCTGAATGTAACAGGTGCTCGAAATGTGCTTTAAAATAACGTCTCACGTGCGAATAGGGCGAAAGTGTGTAAGGGGAGACGGGAATCCGTTCCCAATTTCCACCTACTACCTCCAGCCCCCTTACATGTCTTTCCCCCGCACGAGGCTCGAGACAACTGCTCCTGGCATGGCCGGTAAGAGCCGGGCTCCCGCAAAACCTTTGCTAGGTGGGAGCCCCCGTTTTCTGCAAAAACGGGTTGGAACCCTTGAAAAAAAAAGAGAAAAAACAGAAAAACAAGCAAAAAGAAGAAAGAAAAGGGGTTCCAACCATCTTCAAGAAGGAAATCGAGCACCTTGAAAAATGTGAGTCCATGATCTTTCGTTTTTGAGAGTCTCTTCATCCACGATTCATTTGTCCTCTGTTCGCTATTTGCCATGATGCTGACTCGAGACTAGTACTCTCGCCGAAGAAGCTATGAGATGACTTGTGCGTCGGTTGACCTCGTAAGCTGCTAAATGATCTAGGAAGTCCTCTACCTATGATCGAGGTTGTTTGTTGCTATAGAGGTCTGGAGAGTTGCATTGGTTTGAGTAAGGTTTGCTTGGGGACAAGCAAACGGTTAAGTGTGGGGGAGTTTGATAGACCGTTAGTTACACATGTTTTTACCCCTGCTCTTACTCCGTTTGAGGTATTGATTCTCGTGTTTTAGGCCGATTTCACGCTAGGTTGTGCTTGTTTATGATATTTCAGGTCCTAGTACGTGAATGGAGGCTTGGGAGCGAGTTTGAGGTCGATTGGACGAGGATCGGACGCATGGCGAGGTTCTGAGGAAGTCGCACGGGCACACCCACAACCCGCACGGCCGTGCAAGTGACCAGTTTGGCCGTGCGGGATTGTGCATGGGCACGCACGGGATTGTGCGTGGCCACGCACGGCCGTGCAAGTGACCAGCCTGGCCGTGTGGGATTGTGCGTGGGCACGCACGGGCACAAGTGAAATCCGCACGGCCGTGCAAGGTGCAATCCTGGTCGTGCGAGTTGGTTGAGGTTCGACTTATTGATACGCCGCGTTTTGGAGTGCACGGCCAGAATGGTGATGTGCACGGCCGTGCACCCTGGCCGTGCGAGTCGGGAATTGCTGTTTAAAACCCGATTTTCAGCCAAAGGAAGGGGAAGAGCTGGGTTTTGAATCCCAAACACCCAAGGGACGAACCCTAGAGAGAGAGCGACTTGGGAACATTCTTGGAGCTATTTTGGAGGATTTCTTCGCCATTGGAGCTCGGGAATCAAGCCCGGACTTGAAGACTGATCATCTGAAGATTCTTACTGCAGTCTCTCTCTTCTCTATGGAGTAACTTCCCTTCACTTAGGTTTTGAGGAACCCTAGCTATGTTTGTTTGATTGGATGATTGTATGAGTACTCTGACTTGATAATCTTGAGTTCATATTCAATCTATGCATGTTTTCACGATTCAATTCTGCTTTAGTCGAGATTATTGATTCTGCTTTGATCCTATGAGAGCGAATACCTGATTAGGTCAATAGAGCACCATAGATTGATAGTAGTGGATCGATTGCTTTAGTCGAGGGTTGATTCACTGCTTTGTATCGATTGAGAACCTCATTCGATAGAGGGAGTCTAGTTCAGAACGCCTTGATCGATTGTTCTAGAGAAGGATACGTCCCTCTAGGCAATTGACTCAAGAGGGCCTTGTTCCTTTAGTCGAGACTCAAGGTCTAGTCAAGGATTCTCCGCATTGTGAATGAAGTGAAACAAGTTAGAAATCATCGATCGTTAATCTGGCTAGTGGCTAGGGGGAATCATACCTAAGTGAGTTCCCAACCTATAATTAGATTAACTTTAACTGTAGTTTGCTAGAGTAGTTTTAGTTCTTTCATCTTGATCTGTTTTGCTAGATAATGAACTGAAGCTGAGTAATAGTAACTCTAGAGACCCGTGGATTCGATATTTATTACTTGAGCCACTATACTGCAGTCCCTTTCATTGGTTACACTTGGCCATTGTTAGGAGTTGTGTTTTAGCGAGTCAATAAGAAAGAAAAGTAATCCGGGTGGCAAACGTGAAAGATTTGTATAATTTGAGTGACCAAACGTGTAATTTAGCCTGTAGCTACTAGATTACATGAGATTTCACAATGGTAATACGAGTACGAAGAGTAAAGACTCATCTAGCTATGTAGAGAGAGGGGTTGAGTAGACTATAGCGTACTTGAAGAACATGGTGTATGTGGTTGGACCCAGTTAGGAAAACTAAAAGCAAAGAGGGACCTTAGAAAGAAAGATAACAACGTGAAGATGAGGCTACAAATATTTAGTGTTTCTCTTTTTCCCTCTTTTCCTATTGAGAGAGATAACTTTATATCAGTGTTAAGATGAAGCACGAATTCGAATAACAACACGAAGCTCTCTGTATTTTTTCTTCATCTTTGTTTTCAAACTCCCCATCATTATTACATTAAAAACAACATCTCATCCAACGATATGTACAATTAAGGGATTAGTAGTTGAGCTGAAATGCTCCTCCCCAATTTGGAGCAAAATTATATCCAACAAATGTCCAAAATACTGTGAAGCACTAGCATTGTTGTATTTTTATTATCTAAGTAGCATAATGATCCTTGGACAGAGGGGAAAAGTTGTAATAATGGAAGGAATCATTAGATAGCTTGAGATATGATTAAGCATCATAATCAAAGAGATAACGGTAAACAATAATTCCGTCAACTAATTGCAGATGCTCTCGAATTCTCTCTCTGAAACTCCGTCGGTGGCCTTGGCTTCTACTCCCTCCGGCCGACCACCGGACATCATGATGGCTACGAATGATGGTGATTCCCAAGCGATCACGACAACACCGATTGCGGACAGCCGGACAACTCCATCGTCGGGAGGATCTGTCTCCTCGGGTATGCAACTCATTTCCGGTCCACAGCCTGTCTCGTATGCCAAAGCGGTTGCAGGATCCGGACACCAGGCTTTGATGGTTCCCCCCCCAATGGACTCCGGTGGGGGAGCATGACCTAGTCCCCGGAAAATTCCATGGAGAGCCGGCGCTGACAATTTCCGACAGCTTCAAGGGAAGACTCTGCGCCCCGTGGCAGAAGACACTGGTGGTCCGCCTCCTAGGTCTTCGCATCAGCTTCAACACCCTCTGTTCCAGACTCAAATCCTTGTGGCGACCGACTGGCTCCATCGAGATCATGGATCTGGATGATACGTGCTACCTGGTTCAGCTTTCCAACGATCAAGACTACTTTAAAGCCCTCACAAATGGCCCGTGGGTCATCTTCGATCACTACCTGGCTGTTCAGCAATGGACACCGAGTTTCGGAATCCATGACCCCCTCCCTAAAACTATGATTGTCTGGGTTCAGTTACCGGCGCTCAAAGTTCACTTCTACCACAAAGAGGTTCTGACGTCTCTAGGCAATCTTATTGGCCGCACCATCAAACTTGACTACCACACGCTCAACAGGCAGAGAAGGAAGTTTGCAAGACTGGCAGTCGAAGTCGATATGTCTAAGCCATTAACCCCCCGCATCTGGTTGGACGGATCATGGCAGAAGGTCGAGTACGAGAACCTCCCGACGGTATGTTTCGAATGCGGTAAGATCGGACACAGCTCTACGAGCTGCCCGACGTTGCGGAAGGAGGAGGCTCCGACTCAAGTTGCCGTCGCCGGTCGGGATTCTTTGGCGTCGGCGGCCACCATCGTGGCGGAACCCAACCCCGGTTTCGGGCCGTGGATACTTGTTACCAAAAAGAGTCGCCACAATCCTAGGGACCAGCAAAAAAAAGGTAACTTGGAGAGTGAATCAGGGAAGGCAAGTGCTGGGCAAACCAACAGAAACGGGAAAGGTGGGCTGAAGGTTAAGGAAGGTGGAGATTCCTTGAATATTACTAATATCCAAAAATCGGTGGGGCTACAACGGCCGGTTGGGCAGGAAAGGAAAGGAAACCCATCCACGAAGGAAGGGGATAGCGCTACTGTAGCTGGCAAGGACAACAAAAAAGGGAAGGAAATTGCGCGGGAAGGAAATTGCGCGGGAAGGGAATTCTCGGAGCAGGCTCGGCTAAAAGCCTCATTAGTTTGAACGGGCCTCGGCCCACTATAGATCACAACAAAGCATCCACTTCGGCCTCCGCTGCAGACTCGGTCAGCCCAAAAGAGGCCCGGGTCGGTATGACTCCGTCCACCGCTGCTGCTATGAAGCCCGCCAGCCCAATCAAACTGAAGGCGGACTCCCCACCAGTCCACACTATTCTGGGAGCCAATGGCACCAACATTCAGATTGTCTCAATCAAAACGCCACCCGAACTTGCACAGCAGCCTGGATCGAAGGACGCGACGACGGGGAAACGTACCAGCCACAAGAAGAGCTCCGATAGGAAAACAAAGCAAGGAACACCGATGAAACAGCATGCGATCAAAGCCCTCCAAGTGTGGTCACCTGTTAAAGATCGGAAGACAAAGTCAAAAGCTCGGCTGGCGAATCTCAGTCTTGAGGAGATCAAGGCCTGGACTAGCGCAGCGCAGACCACCACTCTAATTTCAAGACCCGTGGAGGCCGAATCAGAGACCAGCGAGCAGCTAGCTCCTGAACTGGATATGACGACGGTCACTGCTCCGCTTCAGTAACCTGGTGTCTTCTGTTTCCTTGACTTCTTCCCTCCCCTGTTTCTCTTTTCTCTTTTCCTATGTCTATGTCTATTCCTAATAATGTTAAAATTCTTGCTTGGAACGTGGGTGGGGCAGGCAGTAAAGCCTTCGCCCGGGCTCTTAAACTGATCATCCAAAATAATAAGCCTAACTTTGTTATTTTGTTTGAACCGTAGGTTAGCGGTACGGTTGCGAACAAAGTCTGTGACAGAATGGGGTTCCCTAATGTTATAAGGGTTGAAGCTGATGGGCGTAGTGGTGGCATTTGGATCTTCTGGGATGCTCGTTCTTTTTCGAATCAGCTGATCTCTGCCTGCTCGCAGCATGTGTCAATTCGGGTCTCCCAAAATAATGCTCCGGACTGGGTCCTCACTGCTGTGTATGCCTCCCCCCGCCATACCCAACAACATTTTCTCCGGGACAACTTGTTTGAGCAGAGTCAAGCCATCACCATTCCGTGGGTTCTCACTGGCGATTTTAACGCCATTCGAGACCCTATAGAAAAAGTAGGTGCAGCCTCGGTGGCGACTATTCGGAGATGTCGGGTCTTCAACGATCGCATCAATGCTGCCGAGCTCTTAGACCTGGGGTTTTCGGGACCTAGATTCACTTGGACTAGGGGGGAGAACACGGGATCCTACAAAGCCAGCATAATCGATAGATCCCTCTGTAACATCGCGTGGAACTCGGCCTATCCTAACACTATCGTTCATCATCTTCCGCGGCTTAAGTCGGACCACAACCCCATCCTCACTTCTTTTGCTACTCAGGGGCATTCCTCTTCCTCTCCTTCTCGTGGTTTTAGATTTGAGGCGGCCTGGCTCACGCATAATGCTTTTCTGAATACCGTTGCAGGTTCTTGGGATCAGGAGGCTCCGTTGCCAGATGCTCTCCACAAGCTAAGCTCGGTTCTGAGAGACACTACAACAAATTTGGCATATTATGACGAAGAAATTTTGTCATATTAGATACAGATTTTGTCATATTAGGTATAATATGACAAAAGGTGTTGTCACAAAGGTTTGTCATTTTATCGCCGTCAAGATAGGTCAAATGTGACAAAAGTTTAACACAAGGTTGTCACATTCGCTTTCAGTATAACTGAGGTTCTGGATAATCTATTGTGACAAACCGAGATGTTATGACGATATATTTTGTCATTACTTTTGTCGTAATTTGCTTATTTTGACAAAATTGTTCGTCATATTATACCATTATATTTTGATATCACATAATTGTGAGGAACAATTTTTTGTCATAAATGCATGTTTGACGAACATATTTTTGTCATAACTGTATATTAGGACGAACATATTTTGTCATAATTGCATATTGTGACCAATATGATTTATTCATCAATATATTGAATAACATATAGTTGAAAAGATCAATATTCTTGTAACATATAGAAATTTTTTTGCCAAAACCCAGAAAATACAGTTTCATCTAGAAAACCCCCAAACCCAGGAAATAATTTATGCCCCTGCCCCTGCCGTTGATGACAATACACTCTTCTTCCTCACTTCCGCCGCGTCGACAAGCATCCTTCTCCTGCCTGCTGTTGGAGCCGTCGCCTACAACGAACAAGAAACAATAACAAACCAAAAGAAACCCCAAATCCAAACCCAGAAAATGCAAATTTCATCTTCTTCCAATCTCTTCTTCCTCACTTCCACGACCGCCGAGAACCCATCCCCTCACCCATCTCCAGAAGCCAAAAAACCTTTCATCTTCCAATCCCAAAACCCCATATCTAGAACCTGCCCCCCTCGCTGAAAACTAAATACCCAAATAAGAAAATAGAACAAAACGAAATCAAAATCAAATCTCCCAAAATCAAACTTCATATTGAAAATAAAAAATACAACTCACAAAACATACCTTCCATTTTCTTTGATTTCCCCAGCAAAAGAGAAGAAAGTGAGAAGGGGGAATCGAAATTGGACAAATCCACCCCCAATCTGGATCTGCCTATCGTGCCAAGCACCCCCGATCTGGATCTACCCTCTGCATCTCGATCTATCTGAGCCTTTGAAGTTGCGAGGGAGCATGTTTCTGGGTTTACAGGCATAGGAAGATGGGGTTAAAGTGGTGGTTGAGGTCGACATGTGGAGAGAAAAAGGCAACAAGCGATGGTTGGCGGCCGAAAGGAGGATTCAATGGTTGGAAGATGGAGGAGACCAGAAGTGTCTCTCGGTGTAGTGGGATGAAGGTCGAGCGATGGATCTGGGAGCTTGGACGGGTGACCGGAGAAGACGATGTCATTTGGTGTGTGAGGGACGGATGATTGTGGAGGAAGAGAACGGCAGCGGTTCTGAAAGGGTGAGGCAGAGGGTGATAGTGTGAGACGAGAGGAGAGAATCAGGGCTGCTAGGGTTTATTTGCTTTTATTATTTTTTGTTTCTTCAACCCAACACAATATATAAATAAATGAAATAAACGAGGAAGGCAAGGAGGGAAATTTCGGTGGGACTTGGGAGGGAACTTTGGGCGGGCTTAATAAAATTTGACTGGGACTTAGGAGGGAACTTTGGGCGGGCGTAATAAAATTTGAGAGTCAAAAAGTTAAAAACTAACCTTTTATTTTGAGGAATAATATGGCAAAAGCTACTCTAACGATATAATTTGTCACTTTTGTGTCTCTTACATCTCGATTTGGGATGCCTATTTTGACAAACTTAATTGTGACACGAAATATTTGTCACATTACTCACTTCAAATGACAAACTATTCTGACAACAAAAAATTTGTCACAGTTGAATCTCTTAGATCGCGATATGAGACGCCTATTTTGACAAAATTATTTGTGACACGAAATATTTGTCACATTACTCACTTTAAATGACGAATTATTCTGACAACAATATTTTTGTCACATTAGGCATACCAAATAGGACATATTTTATTTTTGTCATATTACCATACCTATTGTGACAAACAGAAAATGACAAAATAAAAAATTTGTCCTAATAGGCCGAATTTGTTGTAGTGAGACTGGAATTTCAATGTTTTTGGGAATGTGCAACAACGCAAACAGAGACTTTTGGGGCGCATCCGGGGGGTTGAGCAGCGCCTATCAGGCTCCTTCCAACCAGGCCTTGCTAAGCTTCACTCCAAACTTGAGGCTGAGCTAGATGGAGTTCTCGAGCAGGAAGAGCTTATTTGGTTCCAAAGGTCAAGGGAGAACTGGGTCAAGTTTGGCGAGCGCAACACTAGCTATTTTCATCATCAGACCCTTATTAAAAGGCGAAAGAACATGATCTCAGCTCTGCGAGATGTGATGGGTAACTGGGTGGAGGATCCGCAGGAGCTGGCCTCTTTGGTTTTCAATTTCTACACTAACCTCTACCTGCAGGATGGTTCAGAGTACGAAGACAGGATGCCAAAGAATGCTTTTCCGCGCATCCAGCAAGAGGACCTTCTCAATCTTCTCAGACCCTTTACCATCATGGATATTCATAAAGCTGTTTTTGATATGAAGCCTTTTCAAGCTCCTGGACCTGACGGCTTCCACGCTGCCTTCTACCAGAAAGCGTGGAGTACTGTTGGGAAGTCCCTAACTGATTTGGCTCTCAATTTTTTTTCTTCAGGGGTGCTGCCGGAAGGTGTCACTGAGTCTACTGTTGTGCTTATCCCGAAGGTGGAGCACCCGGAATTAGTGGCTCAACTCCGGCCTATCTCCCTCAACAATGTCTGCCTGAAGGCCATCACTAAAGCGATTACCAGCAGACTCAAGCCTGTCATGAGGAAGCTTATCTCACCCCGCCAAAGCAGCTTCATTCCTGGCCGCCAGACCACAGATAATGTGTTTATTGTGCAGGAGGTTCTTCATACTTTACGAAGGAGGAAAGGGAAGAAAGGAGGTTTAATTCTTAAGATTGACCTAGAAAAAGCTTCTGATATGCTGAGATGGGACTTTCTGAGAAACACCCTGGAGGAGGTTGGTTTACCTAGTTCGTGGATCAGATGCATCATGCATTGCGTTGAACAGAATAAGATGCGGGTGCTCTGGAACGACGCTCTTTCTGATATCATCACTCCCTCTCGGGGAGTTCGTCAGGGAGACCCTCTTTCCCCTTATCTTTTTGTCTTATGCATGGAACGACTTTCTCACAGGATTGACGAGGCCTTCATTAGTAAGCAATGGAAACCCATCAAGCTTACTAAGGAGGGTCCGCCTCTCACCCACCTTTTCTTTGCAGATGATCTTCTCCTGTTTGCGGAAGCCGAGACCAGACAGATCAGAGTTATCAAGGACTGCTTGGATGAGTTCTGTGCCAGCTCTGGTCAGAAAGTCAATTACGCCAAATCCTTGATGTTTGTTTCTCCCAATGTTAACAGGTCTAAAGCTACCCTTCTAAGCGAAAGAGCTGGTATTCCGCTGAAGCCTGAACTTGGGAGGTACTTGGGCATTGAAACCATCCATGGCAGAGT